GAGTTTGTTATAAGCAGAGTTTACTGTATATAATATATATAACACACGCACAGGTTAATCACTATATGCCACCGCATCATAGATGCTGCGGTGGCGTAAAAAAGTACATGTGTGTAATTTATAGAAAAATGGATTTATTTTAGTGTGTTGTATGAAAATAATGAAAATAAATTATCAAATGTGTGGTGTTAAAACTTGAATATTCTCTACATATTCATGAAATAGTCCTATTAAAAGATAGAAAGACATACAAGAATATATATAGTTCATACTTACTCTCCTAATGTACCACCTGTTTATGCTTCAAATATTTGAAAAGGGGGAGTGCATTATTTCCATTTACTTCTATTTTACTAAATAATTCAAATCCATCACTGTAACCATGGACAAATTCTTTTATCTTTGGTTCTGGCCATGGTTCCTATACAAAATAGAAATAAGAATACAGTGAACACGGTTCAAACGAAAAAATGGTTATAACAAAAGGAAATTAATTCCCCGACTTTAACCCTTCTTTATTTATATGCCTCCTTACATGCTTAGAACAAATTTGGATACAGCTAAAAAACGGTTATAACGTAAGGATTTTGAGGTCCCGTGATACATATTTTAACGTAAATCAGCATGGTTATAGTCAAATCAAGTTTTGACAGTATAACAAAGAGAAGACAAGTGATTGCCTACAGGTGTTAATTATAACATCTCTATTGATCATGCGTTGAAAAGAGGGCTTGATATGTTTTCACACGTTTTCTCGTGACAAGTTTAAAAAAATGTTAAAAAGGCCTTATAATAATTCGATTGTTAAAAGTATAAACATTCCCATGAAATGTGACTTGAGCTGATTTATTTCTAGACCTATGTGTATAACAGTTTTTATCATGATAATATTTGATTAAAATGGATAGAGGTTTAAAACGAAAAGCTATTACTTTGGAGACAAAATTTGAAATTTTAAGTAAAGTTCAAAAAGGTTTAAAGAAAAAGAATATCGCTGAAAATTTTTGAATACCTCCTAGCACTTTATCGACAATTATAAAAAATGAGAAAGAAATCCGTGAGTCATACCTTTAGGAAAAACTAACTTTAATTTAACATCGTAAATTAATGATGTTGATATACTAGCCAGTTCGTATTGACGTAATTTTGTTTTTTTGTATTACCATATATTGATCGAGATTATCACCATCATTGATTAAAATCATATCATTATTTATTTTTTTTTATTATCTACTTTATACATTTTTAATAAAGCAATTTTCTTAAAGATTATTGGATCTTCTTCTATAGCGAAAAATACGTTATATTCAAGTACTTATAACAAAATTTCATTGTATGGATACAACGAATTTCGGATATAACGAAGTAATTTGTTAGGTCCCGAGAAATACGTTATAAGCATGTTTCACTGACAGGGGTGTCAACAAGTCTAAATTGAAAATCCTGAAAAAGTCGGGGGTTTGGGGGCCACAGGTCCCCATTGGGGTCAAGAGGCAAAGCCCCAGTGGGCGGTCTAGGGGGGTGGGGGGGGGTTGCAAAGTCCCCCAGGAAAAATTGAATTTCAGCATTTTAAGATGCACTAGAAACAATTTCCCCAGACACTTCACCAATATTTTTTAAATGTATTTGTCATAATTTTTGCCATTTTCACTCTGACCAAGTCACATCATTTTTTTCCTTTTATCGAAAGTGTTGCATTTAATCAAGAGTTATAAAAGTTGAGTGTAAACAATAAAAGATAAAACAACTTTTAAAACAAGCACATAACTTTAAAACAACCTCAAAAAGACAATTTGAGAATTTCGATCTTTAGTTGTAATAAGTAGACGCTTGCAAGAATTGCGCCTGGTGATTTTGATCACGATGCTAAAACCTATACCAGTACCGGTCGCACTTATACTGTTTTTCGTCGATTTCTTTTTCATGATACTCATGTTAACTACAGTATTGTCCCGTCAATAACTTAACTGAGGTTTTTTTTTTTTAAAACAACTGAACCTTACCCACCCCCCCCCCCCCCCCTTCGAATTTTTTTCATCGAATTTGCACTTATCTCAGAAATGACTTTTTGGTGGAAAAACTGGAATTCCGGGTTAATCCGGACTTTTGACACCCCTGTATTGATAATGAAATGTTTTATTTTTACAAAAGCAAATCTTTTCATGTTACGAAAAAAAGTACAATAGTAAAGAAAATAACTTTTAACAAGGCAGTCTGAAGGACAGCTAAACCCCCTTCCGCAGTGAACCTTTTACAGCCACGACCTTGATGTTATGCCATGCATATCATAAGCACAAAGTCTCATGATGGTGATTATTTGTGCCATGTTATTTGAAATCCTCCATAAAGTGAACTAGAACTCCGCGAGTCGGATGTGTCGCCTTGTGAACAATATAGTTTAGGAGAAATGGCCACGACAAAAATGAAATTTGAAAATCAACAAAGGGCAATAACTCAAAAAATAAGAAATGCAGAGAAGCAGTCTCTGTGCACTGCACTTCTTATCTATAAGATCTATCATCCTATTAAGTTTCAAATCTAAAGCTTTTGTAATTTATGAGAAATGGCCTGGACAAAAATAAAGTACTAAAATTAACAAAGGACAATAACTCAAATAAGAAGAAATGCAGAGTCCCCGTTCTTGTGCACTGCACTTCTTCTTAATGAGATCTATCATCCTATGAAGTTTCAAGTCCATAGCTTTTATACTTTAGGAGAAATGGCCCGGACAAAAATAAAGTACGAAAATTAACAAAGGGCAATAACTCAAAAAATAAGAAATGCAGAGTACCAGTTCTTGTGCACTGCACTTCTTCTTAATGAGATCTATCATCCTTTGAAGTTTCATGTCCATAGCTTTTATACTTTAGGAGAAATGGCCTGGACAAAAATAAAGTATTAAAAATTAACAAAGGGCAATAACTCAAAGAATAAGAAATGCAGAGTACCATTTCTTGTGCACTGCACTTCTTCTTAATGAGATCTATCATCCTATGAAGTTTCAAGTCCATAGCTTTTATACTTTAGGAGAAATGGCCCGGACAAAAATAAAGTATGAAAATTAACAAAGGGCAATAACTCAAAAAATAAGAAATGCAGAGTACCTGTTCTTGTGCACTGCACTTCTTCTTAATGAGATCTATCATCCTATGAAGTTTCAAGTCCATAGATTTCATACTTAAGGAGAAATGGCCCGGACAAAAATAAAGTATGAAAATTAACAAAGGGCAATAACTCAAACAAGAGCTGTCACAGGAGACAGCCAAGCTCGACTATAAAATACTGGACGCAGTAAGGAGGACAAAACTATGAAAGAAAAATCAATTATGTATAATTATGTATTAAGTTATAGTAAAAAAAATTACATTTGTTAACATAAATTCCAAGATCAAGGGAAATAATTCTAGAAAAAGTCATGCTAGAGTTATGAACCTTGTCACACAACATGTGTGTTATGATAAGAAATATATATTTGAAGTTTGAAGTAGATACCTTAAAAAGTAAAGAAGTTATAATATTTCTTAAAGAAAATCCTAAGTTCAAAGAGAGATAAATCTGTAAATATTGATTCAAGAGTTATGAACATTGTCACATAAAATGTAATTGATGATAAGGAATAAGTATTTGAAGTTTGGTTTATACAGAATTTATTTTAGTTCGATTGTGTAGGAAGCTATAAGCTTATAGACACACTTTCGAATCCGTTCCTGGAACCAACCAGTACTGAGCAATAAGTGTAAAGTTTCTTGCTCAAGGAAACAATGACTTGCCCCTGACGGGGTTTGAACCCATGCGGCTAGCTATCATTATATTACTAGTCCGACACGTTAACCACTCGGCCATGCCGCCACTAAATATTTGAAGTTTGAGGTAGATACCTTTAAAACTAAAAAAGTTATAGTAAAAAATAACAGTTTTCTAGTAAAAAAATCTAAGTTTATGGGGAGATAATTCTTGCAATATTTGTGCTAGAGTTATGGACCTTGTCACATAAGATATTGATGATGATAAGGTACATATATTTGAAGTATGAAGTCGATCTCTTTAGAAATAAATAAGTTACAGTAAAAAATAATATTTTTTAAGGAAAATTCAAGGGGAGATAAATCTGAAAATATTGGAGCTAGAGTTATGAACCTTGTCACATAAGATGGGGATGATGATAAGGTACATATATTTGAAGTATGAGGGTGATCCCTTAATAAATAAAGAAGTAACAGTAAAAAATAGTATTTTTTAAGGAAAATTCTAAGTTCAAGGGGAGATAAATCTGAAAATATTGGTGCTAGAGTTATGACCCTTGTCACATAAGATGGGGATGATGATAAGGTACATATATTTGAAGTATGAGGGTGATCCCTTAAGAAATAAATAAGTTACAGTAAAAAATAGTATTTTTTAAGGAAAATTCTAAGTTCAAGGGGAGATAAATCTGAAAATATTGGTGCTAGAGTTATGAACCTTGTCACATAAGATGGGGATGATGATAAGGTACATATATTTGAAGTATGAGGGTGATCCCTTAAGAAATAAATAAGTTACAGTAAAAAATAGTATTTTTTAAGGAAAATTCTAAGTTCAAGGGAATATAAATCTGAAAATATTGGTGCTAGAGTTATGAACCTTGTCACATAAGATGTGGTTGATGATAAGGAACATATATTTGAAGTTTCAAGTTGATACCTTAAGAAATGACAAAGTTATAGTGAAAAATATTTTACTGCACCAAAACTTTAATCTGAAATCTGGACGCGGACGCCGGGGCGAGTAGGATAGCTCTCCATATACTTCGTATAGTCGACAGGGCTAGCACTGGCAGATTTTTTCTTTGAGCCAATTTTTTGCGGCAAAAATTGCGTGCCTATATTTTATTTTCAAGAAGGCAATGGTACAGTCAAATAACCAGAATTCAGTTGTCAGACTAATTTATAGCATTAGTTCATATATGGAACACCTTAAAAAGGCATGAGATATTTAGAGAAAAAAAAACATAAACTACATGTATATCCAACTTTATTTTGGTAGCTACATTTTAATCACTTTAAAACTGATCATAAAAGCTTGCAGCTCAGTAGCTATAAGAATAACATTTTCCAGGCTAATTTGGTCAGCAATGTTTTCATAAAATCTAAGTTAGTGGCATGACAGTGACATCAGAACCACATTTCAATGTGCTGCTTCAGCTTGCTTGGTTAATGCCAAAGATTTGGTTTGAGGACTACCTGTATCTGAAATTATAAAAACAGAAACATTTGAGAGTAAGAAGAATAATTACATGTATTAATGAAGAAAAATATTGAAAAGGTCTAAACTAAACATAATTCAGGAAAAAAAGCCAAATATTCATTATAAGAGTAAAGTAATTAGCATAAGTTTCCTAAAAATATGTTGTATGCTGCTTGAATTTTCCATAAACATTTCACAGCCATGTATGCCATTTGTAAATGAATGCTCCAGATAGAGGTTATGTACAAAGTAAGGTCAATTTTTTTTTCAGGAATACTAATTGTCAAATATACTCTTTTCTTGTCAATTTATTGCTTTTTTGGAGCCATTATTAGGTCAGATTTAATTTGCAATTTTAAAAAAAACTTCTATTCTATAACTCATAATTCCTTTGATCTTTTTTATCAACAACAATAAAATTATATGATTGCAAACTTACCGTAAAGTCGTCCATTTCATACCAAGCTGTTGATATGATTGGCGATAATCTTAAGATGCCGCTAGTTATTGTTTTTCAATATCGAATTAAGACCAATTATCCAGTGCACATTCAACAATTCACACCAATTAGTGTCACTATTTATCAGCTGATAAACATGTAAACATACCATGAGGTAAGTGTATTAGACTGTGTTACTGTTTATAACGATATTCTATTTGGAAGGGAAGTAACAAATATAGTCCAGTCAATGACCCCACAAAAAGCAGACTGTGTCGCAGTGTTTTATGATTAGAAGCGGTAAAGCGGAGTTGTAAATGGGAAACCAAATGTGTACTTTTCCATTCTTAAAATAGCAAATGCTAAATTTAGACTGGATATTCAAAGTCATACTTTTCGTAAGTTGGAGCCAATCATGATTTTCTTGAGCCAATTTAATAATTTTGGAGCCAATTTGCTCATTGGCTCCTGCCAGCGCGAGCCCTGGTCGAGCTAAAAATAAGAAGTGCAGAGTACCCGTTCTTGTGCACTGCACTTCGGGTCATTACAAGAAGCATGCATACCAAGTTTGAAGTTAATCCAACTAATAATGACTGACTTGTGCTCCGGACAAGTTTTAGGGGACGCCGACAACGACGCCACAGACAAAAGTAACCCCTATATGTCGCCTTTTTCAAGGCGACACAAAAAAAGTTATGGAGAACATATAAACCTTGACATTGGGGTAGCAACCTGGATGTTGAACTTTGCAGATTGTGTGTCATGGTGACGATCATTTTAAAACCTTTGAATTGTCAATAAGTTAAAGTCAGTGAACATGAAAATAGATGTTTTTTTACATTAGACCTTTTGAGCATGACCTGACCTTCAGAGTTGTGACTTGATTATTTATGCTCTGCCAATGGTGTCATAATGGGTGATCATTTCTGCCAAGTTATCTTAACAAGAGGGCCATGATGGCCCTAAAATCCCTCACCTGTATATAGGCTCCTGGGCAAAGGCCAATTTTAAAGCAGGGGCTTTATTCGAACAAAATTTGGTAGACAAATTAAGATGTTTCTTGATAATAAATATCTAAAAACTCTTTGGGGGTTTTTATAAGAAGATTTTTTTAAGTTTTTATTATAATTTATACATATAGGGAAAAAACAATTACCCCCCCCACCCCCTCGGAGGGGCCAATTTTAACCCCAGGGCTTTATTTTAACAAACTTGGTAAACACTCACTGGAAGATATTTTCATGCTTAGTATCTAAACTCTAGCTCTTTTGGGTTTTTTAAAAGAAGATTTTTTAAGTTTTTACTATACACATACACTACAGCCTCATTATAACCCTCATGTTGGGGTCCAATGTCTTAACACTGCGTTCTAACGAGGCTCTCATTAGAACGCTCATTGTGAAATTACCGCATTACCCCACCCACCGTCTATATATATAACGCTGACGATTTTTACTTACTTTTCAATGAATATCTACATTATGTTTTTCTAAAACAATTCAATGATGTAAACATTTATTATATTCACAAATAATACTAATTATATTTAAAAGAAACAAAAAACTTTCGAAAGAAAAACATAAATCATGAATGTCGTGTAAACAGTTAGCCATTACTGTAATGGCATTTGATTAACTAGGGGACACAACTAAAGCTGGACTGTAAATTACAGTGTAATTAACAGTCCAGGTTTAGTTGTGTCCCCTTGTTAATCAAACGACATTTACTTCCTGTCTCGGCCGTTCTATTTACAGTGCAGGATTTTAAATTGATTTTGGGCTTGTGTGGGTTATTTAATTCAGCGAGGTTTACATGTCACAGATATGTGTGTGAATTTTAGTTTATTTATACACACCAACGGTTGCCCTTGTCACAGTTATGATGTAAATTTGAGATTTTGGAAACAATTTGATGCCTGACTGATGGACAGGTAAAACAACAAAAGAGCGGATAAACACAAACCTGGGCATGTTTTTCACACCTTTGGGGATCATAAATGTCCTAATTACAATTGTTTATTGTACTTGACTGTCAAATTGAACAAGCGTATTAGCGCGCTATAAATCTAGATCTACTTAATTTTTTTTTTTTTTTTTTTTTTTTTTTTGGGAGCCAAGGTCTATGGGCGCTATACTGAGATAAGCGATATAACGGAGAGCGATATATCGAGGCTACAGTGTAGAAGGAAAATGAATGACCCCTGGGGCGGGGCCAATTTTAACCCAAGGGCCCTTATTTGAACAAACTTGGTAGACACCCATTAGAAGATGTTTCATGCTAACTATCTTAGCTCTAGCTCTTTGGGGTTTTTAAAAGATTTTTTAAGTTTTTACTATATACATAAAGGGAAAAACAATGACCCCTGAGGCGCGGCCAATTTTTACCAGCGGGCTTTTATTTGAACAAACTTGGTAGACACTCACTAGATGATGTATCATGCCAAATATTTAAACTCTTAACTGTTTCGGTTTTCTAACAGAACATATTTTAAGTCTTTTCTTTCAGTTGCCATGGCAACCAGAGTTCTGCTTGGAATTAATTTCTTTGAACAATTTTTAAAGTTGACTACCAAAGAAAATATTCCTGTGAAGTTTGGATGAAATTGGCTTAGCGGTGAAATTGGCTTAGCGGTTTATGAGGAGATGTCATGTAAAGTAAAAGTTAGACTTTTTATTATGAAATGAAGAGTTTTTAACATTTGACCTTTAAGTGTGACCTTGACCTTGTAAGGAAAATCAGTACCTCCGGGCGGGGCCAATTTTGGTCTCAGTGCTTTTATTTTAACAAACTTGGTAGACACTCACCAGAAGATGTTTAATGCTTAATATCTAAGCTCTAACTCTTTGGGTTTTTTAAAGAAGATTTTTAAGTTTTTTCTATATACATATAAGGTAAAGCAATGACCCCCCTGGGGCGGGGCCAATTTTGACCCCCAGGGCTTTTATTTGAACAAACTTGATAGACACCCACTAGAAGATGTTTTCATGCCAAATATTTAAGCTCTAGCTCTTTCGTTTTTTTAAAAAGAAGATTTTTAAGTTTTTTACTATATAAATATAAGGAAAATCAATGGACCCTACCACCCCTCCCACCCCCCCTGGGCGGGGCCAATTTTGACCCCAGGACTTTTATTTGAACAAACTTGGTAGACACTTATTTGACAATGTTTCATGCCAAATATTTCAGCCCTAATTCTTTCTGTTTTTTAAAAGAAGATTTTTAAAGTTTTTACTATATACATATAAGGAAAAGCAATGATCCCCTGGGGCAGGGCCAATTTTGACCCCAGGGCTTTTATTTGAACAAACTTGACAGACACTTACTAGAAAATGTTTCATGCCAAATATCTAAGCTCTACCTCCTTGGGTTTTTTAAAAGAAGATTTTTTAAGTTTTTTCTTTCAGTTGACATGGCAACCAGAGTTCTGCATGGAATTAAATTTTTTGAACAATTTTTAAAGTTGACCACCAAAGGACCATTCTTGTGAAGTTCGGATGAAACTGGCTTAGCGGTTTATGAGATGTCGTTTAAAGTAAAAGTTTACGGACGACGGACAAACTGCTGGACAAAAAGTGATCACAAAAGCTCACCATGTCACTTTGTGACAGGTGAGCTAAAACTAGAGCGATCCGTAATCACATGTGTTGCCTCATGATGGCCAATTTCATGTTGGGACAAATTTTGTGACAGACGGACAGACAGACGGACAGTGCGTGCACAACTAGACTTGGTACTGATCATTCCTGTAAAGTTTGGATAAAAGTGCAGCAGTAGTTAATGAGGAGTAGTCCGGACAAGCTTTTGCGTATCTGGCAACACACAGAAAAAAACACCTTTTTATCAAAGGGCCATAACTTGGCCAAAAATCATTCAACCAGAAAACCCTTGCAATATGCACAAGGACTTGAGCTACAGATCAATCCAGTAAAGTTTCATTGAAATTGCTTTAGTGGTATAAGAGAAGTAGTCCGGACAAACTTTAAAAATAACTAGAAATGTGTCATCATGCCACGGATGCCCCCGCATGCAGCCAAAATTTCAGATGTTATAATATTTAGTTCCAAATTTGTTTGCACAAATAATTTTTTTCATTTTAAGTTCAAAGCCCTTAAAACTTTTCAATGTTAACACAAACCATTTCCATACAATGTTCAAGGCACTGAAATTATTCAGTCTTAACCTTTTGAAAATAGCATATTTCATATTTGTAGCCAAAATAGTGGCTACTACATTTCCACAAAAGTATGAGTGCTGAAACTGAAAGTTCAAAATTTTTCCAACATTCAAGAAAGATAAGTTTGTCCAAAATCATTGAACCATGACCAAATTCAAACTTAAACTGCTTATTCCTAAGATGTATCTATATTATTTTCAAAGTGAAAGGGACATAACTCTGCCAAAAAATCATCGAACCATGACCAAATTCCAACTTGACCTGCCCATTCCTTTGACATATCCATATGTCAAGTTTGAGTTAAATATGTAACACTGTTGGGTAGATATGAACAGAAACTGTTAATTTCATATTATTTTCAAAGTGAAAGGGGCTTTACTCTGCCAAAAATCATTGAACCATGACCAAATTCGAACTTGGCCTGGGCATTCCAAAAACATATCCATATGTCAAATTTGAGTTGAATGTGTTGTACCGGTGGGGAGATAATAAACAGAAACTGAAAATTTCATATTATTTTCAAAGTGAAAGGTGCATAACTCTGCCAAAAATCATTGAACCATGACCAAATTTGAACTTGACCTGCGCATTCCTTTGACATATCCATATGTCAAGTTTGAGTTGAATGTGTTGTACCGTTGGGGAGATAATGAACGGAAACTGAAAATTTCATATTATTTTCAAAGTAAAAGGGGCATAACTCTGCCAAAAATCATCCAACCATGACCAAATTCGAACTTGACCTGTATTTTATCATGACATATCCATATGTCAAGTTTGAGTTGAATGTGTTGTACCGTTGGGGAGATAATGAACGGAAACTGAAAATTTCTTATTATTTTAAAGTAAAAGGGGCATAACTCTGCCAAAAATTATTGAACCATGACCAAATTCGAACTTGACCTGTATTTTCTCATGACATATCCATATATCAAATTTGAGTTGAATGTGTGCAACCGTTACTAAGATAATGAACGGAAACTGATGATGACGGAATGACAGAATGACGGTATGACGGAAGGACGGAACAGGGTAACACTATATGCCCCGGCCATTACATGGCGGGGGCATAACAAGATTGCATTTGTAAAAAATGCTATGCCACCGCATAAATACAACACTAAAATAGTAATGTAGGAACACATTTTTTTTGTTTTGACCCAAGGGCTTTAATTTGAATAATCTTGCTAAAGGTTCACTACACAATGTTTACTGCAAAATGTCCCACCTCTAGCCTTTGTCAATTCGAGAAGGTGATTTTTTAAAGTGTTTACTATATACATGTAAGGAAAACCTATGACCCCGGGG